CTGTCTGTCTGTCTGTCGGTGTCTGTGACCACGAGTGTGACGTGACAAAACGAGTCCGCTTCGGGGAGTCCTGCAGCATGGCGGCTGGGGCGAAGCACTTTGCTGTTTATTGCTGCTTCGAGCAAGTTGAGCCTTCAGACCCTTCGACCTGTGCCCCAGACCACTGGATGTTATGATGATGCCGGATTGGTGTACCTGGTCGAACACATGACGTGGTTATTATGAGTTATCATTGTACCGTTCATAACAGTATAGTTCCTGCACATCATGGAGCAATTTTTTCGTGTGTTTTTTTTTAGTGTCGACGCTCGTTGTTTATTTGGGACGGGCGCATGCATTCAGTGTGTTTGCGATGTGTGCAGCAACTCGAGGGCCTGCAGTAGTCTCGCGATTGACCAGGGGCCTTGTTGACAGCGAACATCTTGATCATCTTCCTGGCCTTCTGCTGCTACTACTTGGTCCTCGGGTCACCATGGAGTGGAGGTGCTTAAGTCGTGCTGTTGTCTTCCCGAGTGATGGTTGAAGCGCTGGTGCCAAGGTCCACCAAAAGAAGGCACACCATGCGAACGAACAGATGAAGATCACGCGCGTGAATGCGTGTCCGCTGCAGACGACCGAGTCTTGCTCGAAAAATCAGCTGTTGCCATGCCAGTCACAGAACTGCATTTTGCTTTTTTCCCGTCGAGATCATGGACACATGACATGAGACAGCAGCATTCATTGACGTGCTTGTTCGTTTTGGCCTGCAGCTTCAGGACATGTACTGTGCGTCTTGGGTAGGTGTGAGGTCTAAAGTCTAAAGGGGGGAGTGCTTGTGTATGCAGATTCGCACGGGAACTGTCATGCAGGCCTTTGTAATTACGTAATGGTGGTTTGCCTGCAGACCGAGTACCTCAGCATGCTGTGCCGTCAGTTTCAACAGTCACGCGGGGATGGCGTAGTTTGGCCTCCTCGTCTCCGGCATGGCGCGCTGGAGACTTCGGATGGAAGACTTTGGGCGGCGGCAGGAACGGCATGACAACGCATGACATGAAATGGAGACAGTGCTTTGCGCGCTTGTTTGCTCTTTGCAGAAGTCAAAAGGAGGGCGGCAACCGGACGAGCGAAGCCTGGCACCAGCCACGCTGGGCCTCGAAGGCCTCGTCGCTCTCCAAAGGCGCGTCTGTGGGCCGGCACCGTGACGTCCTGGGCTGGGTGCGCCGCTTTGTGCTTTCGAGGAGACGAGGAGCGGCCTCCGAGCAGCGGAGGTTCGACCCGCTGCCCGTCCTCCGCACGGGGAAGGCACTCGCCCGCTCCCAGCGTCGTGGCCTCGAGTTTGCTCCTGGGGCGCTCGAGCTCGGGGGAGGGTTCCCCTCCTTTGAGCTCAGGTGGAGACCAGGGCGCCCTCGCCGAACAGCCCGGCGGCCTCTTGGGCCCGGTGCTCGCTTTCCATCTGTCGTGCTCTCGCGCTGTTTGTGGAAGGGAAGGGCGCTTGTCCCTTTCAAGGCCCAGCCAGCACCGCCAAGCTTGCGAGCCAGCAGGGGCTCCCAGAGAAGTCTTGCAAGGACTTGCAAGTGCAGTGCCGCTGCCTGGAGGCGCTGACACCTGGGCTACACGCGTTGACTCAAAGCAAAGAGGCTCGCTCATGGCTCCGTGGGCTGGTTGACGTACATGAGAGAAGGATCTCGATTTCTTTTCTTCACGGCACAGCCCAAACCCTAAAGCCTCAACTCGCTCTTGTCATAGGGGTTCAGCTGGATCCTGTCCCGATGCCCCGAGATGAAAAGCTAAACATTAATTTTGCCGTTTTTGCAAATGTGAACACGTCAACATGTTGATAAGAGGAACCCACGAGAAATCTCATCCTGGATGGCAGCGGCAGCATTGGCTGCACTCTGTGCCAGGGCAGGAAAAAGACTTTCCCGCGACCTACAGCATCAAGCAAGGAGATCTTGCAGGCGCTGGAACATCAACGAGGTTTCAGTTTTCGAAAACTCATGTGCAGTCAAGTGAGGATCTCTCCTTCCAGATTATGAGCTTTGGGTGACTTTGCATGGCGGGAATGGCCGCTGGCAGCAGGACTAGCCAGAAAATGCTGCAAGTTCCGGGTGCGTTGAAGCAGCCCACTCCGCGGGAGGCCCGTGCTCAGACTCAATGGGCGCACATGCTGGTTGAGCACGAGGCAGGATGACTCTGCCAATGCCCAAGCCAGTAGTCCTGCAGAGTCACACTACAGAGCAACCAGAGGCAGCTATGGCCGCAAAGAAGCTGGAGACGGAGCGCCAGCGGCTGCGCCGTGCAGAGGTGTGGAAATGGAGCGTTGGGCTCGCGCTCTCTCTGTGTCTCTCTCTCTCTCACACAAAAGCGCGGACCGACCGGTGCTTCTGCCGTGGCCGCAGGTCGCGCGAATACGGCGTGCTGAAGAGGAGGAGCTCCGACGACGCGTGGAGGAGGTCGCCGCCTCGCCCATCCAGGATAATCCAAGTCTCGTGGTTCTCGTTTCCCTGCGAAGTTCCGGAGGCAGAGCACGACAAGCGACGAAGAAAGGAAGAAGAGCTCCGATTGCAGATGCAGCGAGAGGCGCTGTTCGAAATGCGCACAGGGAGATCTGTGCAAAATCGGGCGGGAGCCTTAAGCGGCCTTCGGCTTTCAGGAGGAGGCTCGCCGGGCGAAGCTCGAAGAAGAGCGCCTTCTCGAGCTGATGCAGTGACTTGGGACCAATTCGCACATCCAAAACAATGGTCGCCGTCGTAGCGAGGGTCTACTTTTTGGGAATTTCAGGCCGAGGAAGTGCCAGAAGTGCGAAGGTTCTGGCCGCTGTGCCAACTGCCAGGCTTCACTGCGACTTGAAAGCTGTCCATTGTACGAGTTGGTGTCGTTTTGCCTAGAAGAACAATTGGACAGGGAGAGGGCTCCGTGGACGTGCTTTTCCTCGCGCCGTCGGTGGGTTCCAGGCTTCATTGCGAGAAGGGAAAGAGGGGGCCATTTGCGGTGGTCCCGTGGTCCCGTGGTCTTTGGTCGTGTCAGGCCGATGCCCATCTTGCAGGGCCGGCGCCCCCGAGGCTGCAGGCGCGCTGTGACCCCTACCTGTAGGGCCCAGCTTCCTCCAAGTCGCTTCGGCTGAAGAGGCTCTGTGGTGGAGCCGGCGACGGCGCCCTTCTCCGGGACTTCGTTGCGGGGAGCGGCAGATGTGACGTCTGCAAGGGCGAGCGCTTCATCAAGCCACCCCCAGGCAGAGTACTTGCCGACTCTGCATCGATGTGGCTGTGGAAACTGACAGGTGGCTTCAAGACGCCGGCAAAAGCAGAAGCTACACCCAGGAGGACCTCGCGGGAATACGAGGCGCAGGAAGCAGAGGGCGCATGGCACTCTGGCTTGACCTAGATTCGAGGCCTTGAACGGGTCCATGCCGGATGCTAGCGCCTTGCCAGACTGACGCCAAGCCGAGTGCGGCAGCTGCAGAATGTTTGCCAATCAAGTCCAGGCCTGTTGCCTGCTTGCTTAAAGCAAAATGGCAGGATGCCGAAGCACAAACTCTGCATACGTGCCATGTTCTATATACTCTTCCAGCAATGTGCATTCACAATGCAGGAGAAAGACTGGCTTGCAATAAGCATCGCATGGGATCCTGGAAGGCTATATAGATCATGGACGATGCCGTGACACTTAAAATACTTGAATCTACGCCTGATCAGGCTGCATGCTTTTCCAGCGAGTTTCATCTCACGTTTCTCAAGTTGCAGGATGTTGCAGGTTTGGAGAATCCACCTGCAGCGTCGCCTCGCTCCCGTTTGCGCCATCTCTGGCTTTGCCGCTTCAAAGAGCGACGAGGACGCGGCCCTGGCACAGCGCTCCGGCTGAGCGGGGACGCAGCGGAGCTTCCAAGCCCGGCAGCGAAGCCATGGACAAAGACTGCAGCGCCTCCACAGTGCTTTGAAGCATGAGGAAGTCATTGAGCATCGAGACCCAGATTCGCTGCCGAAAGCGGTTCCGACCTGCCATGTTGCAGCAGCTTTGCTGTCTTGCGCAGGCCATGCAGGAGATTGCAAGGAGAGGAAGTGACGTGTCAGCTGGCGGGGGCGGGTTGCGAGGTCTGCTTGGCTGTGGCAGTGCTGGAAAGAGCGCCCGCTCGGTTTGCTCGGCCCGCTCGGCCCGGGCCTGTGAGGCAAAGCGTGGGCCCCGGGTTTGCGGAGGCCGAGGCCGGCCGTCGCCGTCGCGGAGTTTTCTTTGCGGCTCTCTCCGTCTCTCGCCAGGTCTCAGCTCTCTCCTTCCCGGACTGGCAAGGCCCGCGACAGCACAGTCTTTCCCCACTGTCTGCGAACCTGCGAGGCTTCCTGGACCAGGCTTCCCTTGCCCAGTCCTGTGTAGTGCTCTGCGGAGCGCGACCTGGTAATGCGTCTCGACTTTGTGGAGCACACCAGTGGGTAAAATCGGGAATTGAGTGGAGTGCACATGCGCTCCAGAGGAGTGGGAAGAGCAAATAAGCCCGTCGATTTTTGTTTTGGCATCTCGGCATACACCACATACTGTATCGTCTGTGAGCGTATTTTATCGTAAACTGCGAAAGTCCCTCTGCATGGGGCCGGAGAGTCTGCTGCGCTCATGCCAGCCTGGTGGCTCTCTGCCTCGGCTCAGGTCGGATCCACACTTCGAGTCTGTGCACTTCTGGGTTTGCCTTTTCTCGTGGTCATAGGCTTGTCGCGAGACAAATGCAAAAAGGCCAGGCCTCGTGCTTGCTTCTTTTTTCCTCCGTTCGTCCTGGGCTCGCAGGCCGTGGAGCTGTCACAACTCGGAGAATATCCAGGCAGCTCCGTGCAACTCCTGCATGGGGCTGATCGTCACGGTGCTTCCGCGCTCGAGGTGTTTCGCTGGTGAAACCGCCGCTAAGCTTGGAAGTTCACGAGGTCCCTGAGCCCCCACTGCGACTGCTCTTGCGAGCGCCTGGCAGACCTAGGTGCTGCAACGACTTCGGGCTAGCGGACTCAGCCTGCTCGGCCTGACAGCTCACAGCCAGGGCCACAGTCTTATTTTTGGTTTTGTCGGTCGTGTCGTCCTGGCAGTGAATCAGAACATTCCTCCAAGTGAGTACATGTTCCATACTCCCCTGGTGCGCGCTTAAATTTCGGGATCAACGAACATGGTTACGAGCAGCGTATTTTCGCAGCCGCGCGGTCGTGCGATTACGTTCGACGGGCTCACAAGACAGAGTCGCTGATCATCGCAGATCCGCTCCAGAATTGGATCGAGTGACGCAGAAGTGAGCACTGATGTCTTGCCACTCGTTTTCGCGCGTTGCGGGGCTCGCCTCTGCCGAACTTCGTGCTGTCCGTCCTTGGAATGTGCACTCCGTTAGGAGCCACCTCTGAGCGCAAACGAGTTTCAGACGTGCGGTCAGGATACCTCGGACGAGTTCACCTTGCTTCATGTGAACTGTTTCCGATAGACCAGTTTAGCCTGTTGCAAACATAGGGTATGGCAGTCGACACATGGCTGAGGTGCAGGAGGCGAAGCCAAGCCTATATGGAATTTGAAATTAACCTGCCCAGGCGCTGAAGATGGGTGGGTCAGTAATGTGTAGTTTGCTGAAACCTTGTCCACTCTGGCAGGTGTGGCATTTGTTTTCGGCCGAGAGCACGACGGAATTCCGCCGAATGCAGAGCTGTTGCTAGATGAGGCCGGCTGGCAAAAGATTCAGGCTGCCTTTAGTGGGTTGTTTTGGCAAGGCTGCCACAATTCCCATGGTCGTTGATGGCGAGAAGGTCTGCCGCCCAGTTAACGAGACTCGACTGGAGGTTTGTGCAACTTGAAGTCGGTTGGACAGGGAAGCCTCAATGTGTCCCATGCGGCGGCGCTTGTTTTGTATGAACGGCGGAGGCAGCTAATGTTTGAAAAACAATGCTCCAGACGTTGCATCATGGACTCCCTCCACTGCATCTCTGATCTGCATGCTTCACCACACAACCACTCAAGAAGCAATCAAGTAGTGCCGGTGGAATTGCATTGCGACAACTTCAAGCAGCGACGCCTAAATCGTGCATTCGTGGTTGTCGAGCGACCACGGTAGCAAGCGAGTCCTGCACGGCACAACTGGCACTCCATGACGGCGACGCTGCAGTGGTTGGCTGCAGGTGACTGTCTGCACAGACGGGACAGGCAGAACGAACTACAGATGAGACCGGTGTGCTTTGATGTGTGGGGAACCTTGCTTGAATGTCCTTCACTGGTAGGGTCAACTATGTCTACTATCGTGGTAGCATCAGGCTCAATAGGGGTCAGCGCAATGAACTGGAACATGCAACGTTTACTTGGCAGTTGGTGATGCTCATGAACTCCGTCGTCAATGGCATCGCTGCAGCAAATAAACTCGAGCATGTAATTCCACCTGTGACTCCAAATTAGCCTGCCGCTGTCTTGGAAGATCCAATGTCCAAAAACTCCATCCGAAAGAAGGAATCCCTCGGCGATGTAGACCACATAGCTGTAGTGCCGGGATAGACTACAGTAAGAGGAACCTTTGCTGCGGCCGTAGACACCGGCATGCCGCCGAAGAAAAAGGCCGCAGATGAAGCTGGAGGCCAAATGATGACATGACCCCAAGCATCCTGACATGACCTGGTCCTGTCTACAGCCGGCAGAGGTGCTGAACTGGTCATGGGGGCTGAGTCTGTCGGCTATGCGTGAGGCTCACCGCTTAAGAAAGCAAAGAAAGGGAAAGCCGCCGTCTGGGAGTGGAAGGCCGTGCCCTCAAATCCGAGCTGGAAGTTTGATCGATTTCGGTATTGATAGAGAGCTACTGATTGTAGGATGGAAGCTCCTGGAAAGCATATACAGATGAGGACGATCGCGCAGCAGCCTACTTGCTCGTGCCTGCACATTTCGACGTGCCAACTGCGAAGCTCGAAGAGCCCACCCCATAGCAACCAGAAATGAGGCACCCTGAACCTGCTAACATGCAGGGCCTGCTTCCTCTGCCTTGGCACTTTGTGGATGTGTGTGTGTGTGTGTGTGTCTGTGCGTGTGTCTGTGTTTCTGCGCCGGCCGCAGGATTCACAACTGTCCGGATCCCGGAGCCTGGGTCGAGCCTGGCAAAATCAGACTTTTGCACACATTCCGCAGCTGTTGACTCATAGAAAGTGTGGCCACGGAGCAGCAAGGCAATAATACGATCTCCGGGCTTGTTAGTACTGGTTTCATCATGGCCACGATCCAAAACGCTTTCGTTTCTCAAGTTGCGCGAACAGACAGGTGTCCTGAGAAATTGAATGTCTGAGACGAGTAGTTCATAGTTCGTCCATAGTTCTTCCCTTTTGGATCGCCCATGGCACATCTCTCCACGAGCACGTGATGACCTTGCTAGGAAAATCAATCGCAGATGGACAGCTGCGGCCTTCAGATTGTTGCTGTGAAGGACATTGGCGGCCACAAGTGCGCTGTCCGAATGACCACGTGCTGCAGCAGAAGGTTACCGGCTCTGGCTTCATGGGCCTCTGGGTCAAGGACAGGGTTGCAAGACTCGAAGCGCTGCAAGAACAGAGGATATGCCGGCGAGTGAAAACAACGCGAGTCGGAAGAGTGACAGAGAGACCTGCGAGAGAGAGAGAGAGAGAGAGAGACTTTTAGGGGTGCGCCATCCGGCGCGGGGTGCTTGACACGCACCCTCTCTTCCTGGCGCCCTTGCGAGTTTTCCTCGGCCTGCTTTCCTCGTCTCCATGATATGTGCGGGGCGCCTGGAGTGCGGGGGCGGCGGTCGCTCCTCTGTCCTTAACCCTTGGGAAAGGAAAGAGCACAAGAGCTCGCTGGATGCTAATTCAGGGGAGCAAGCGAGAAGCAGCTGGATCAAGAGGGTCAAGCCCAAACTGACCGAAAGGCTGAGCTTTCGGGCTTTAGGGGTGCCCTTCGACTGTGCAGGAGTGCAGCCGGTGTCAGCAGGCGGACGTAGCAGACTCCGGAGCCATAGCTTGGTCGGCGCCCGTCTTCTCATTGTCAATGTCGTTAAACCTTTGACAGGCATTGTCTCGGGGCATGACTCGCTACAGCTGCAAGAGGCCACGACAGTTCTTGTGAGGTGTGGCTTTTTGCTTGGTTGCTGTCTTTAGGTTTCTTAGCGAATTGGTATCTTCTCCAAGTCCGAATAAGAAAACAACCCGACCATGCTTGCTCAGGCTCGACATGCTCTCGCTGTCGTTCACTCTTTCTTTCTCTCCGTCAGTCTCTGGCTCCCTCCCTCCCCCTCACTCCCTCCCTCGACTCCAACTCTACCTCTGGCGAAATTGTGTCATCTCCATCCGTGTCGCCGAAGCATGATCAAACGCACAACCCCTGATAGGTGCGGCTATCATCTCTGTGAGTCTTGCTGCTCTACGCGGTCTGTAGAGATGCTTGACGAGGACACTGATTGGGGCCTCGTGCCGGAACATGCCCTTGCTTTCCTTGCACAGGAGATTACGCTGTCCATCTATCGACCTTCACAGGATCTGATTCCAGGAGCGCGGCCGAAGACGGGCTCTTCTGAGACACCTTTCACAATGGCCTGCGCCAGGATTGCAACTTCAAGAGGAGGATGTGCTGCAGGTTCGGCATGCACGTGATGCTCAAGCTATGAACGGTGCCGTGCAGTTTCAATCGGCCAGGTCCGGCTCAAGGCCGGATCCACTGTCCTTGCCCTCAAGGAATCGCCAGCCATCGCTCTAGAGTTTCGAATCTGCCAGAGGGCTTCTGGAAAATTTCGTCATGTCTTTCGGTAGTTGACATGATAGGGTTGGGCGACAAAAGCGGGGTGCCACGTCAGCAGAAGAGGTGCGAAGGCTAATGGATCCGGACGACTCTTCTTGTGAAGATGCCGTCGAGGTCACAAGCGAAATGACAGATGAGCATCGAAGCTCACCAGATTTAGATCGAGTCCATGTATCTCCATGTTTCGTGAATTTCGTATCTCCATGCTTCGTGAATTTCGTGAGAAGCTCATTGATATAACGACCAACGCATCTCCCAGGGAACGGAGTGCCGCGCTCAAGTCATCCGAGCAACAGTAGCTTTGCTTCTCCCAAATCCAAGACACATGTGTTCCACTGAACGGACTCTGAAGCCGGAGTGTTCTGAGAGACGGTGTGGGTGCGATCCTCGTAATGTGGATATCCTCGGCCGTTGAGTGCACCATACGTGTAAAACTTTGGCAGGAGAAGCTGTGCGATCTGTACGGCATGCCAATTGCCATGCAGGTCATGGACACAGAGGTGCAGATGTAGTCAGTCGAACCATGGTGTTTCGAGGCAATAAAGCGCGACATAGATGCTGCAGCAGTGCGGAATGAGGACTGCGGCTCTCTTCCGAATTCGCCCCGTCACCTGTTTTTTATACCGGGCAGGATCAGGTTGCCTGTGAAGATGGCGATGTTCTTTATCTAGGCATGTCGAGCAATGGCAAAGAGTCTGTGGGACCCCATGAACTTTCCTGAACTGCATGTCGCTGGACCCAGGCAACCCTTTCGAGTCTGCCTTCTCTGCAAGCGGGGAAGGCCGGAGCCGTGAGAGTGCTGCTGGTCCCACACGAGCTCGCATGATCCAACATGTGATCAGATCACTTCGGGCTTCTGATCTCTGAGGCGAGGTCCCAAAAAGTCAGTACTCGTACAGCGGTCTCCTGCTTCCGCGTGAGGCTGTGACGGGCCTGTTGGCCGATGCAGAAAGTCGCGCGCAGGACTGGTCTCAGGTCGATCTCATGCAGATGCAAAAGCCTTATGTGACTTGTGCGTGTGTGTCCTTCTGTGAGGAGCAGGGCATGAAGGAGATCACGCTGAAACTCGGAAGAGATTCAGAGCACCAGAGACGTGTGCTGATGTTGAGTTTTTGTTACACGAGGAACGTCGTAATGCCATGCCTGGAGAAGGCAAGGAGGGCGTAGGATCAGAGAACGCGGCGCGACTTTTGTGACTGATCCAGGCGAAGGCGGCAAAGGCAATACCCGAGCAGAGATGTCAAGTCGTTGTCGTGGACACGGACTCAGCAGAAAACATGTCGGAGACTTGGTGAAGTTGGGCGGCATGGATCCGTGCTTTTTCCAAGGTGTCTGCAAGAATGGCAGAAATAAAAGAGATGGTCTGATCCACAGCGAAGACTCTGGGGAAAATTCAATAGTCTTGCAGACCCTCGCACGCCATGAAGGCTGTTGTGGAACTCGACGCAGAGCAGGAGAAGCAACGAGACAAGTTCATAGCTTTTTGCTGACTGTCCTGGAAGCAGGACGAACTAAAGCTCGAATTTGCTGGCCAAACAGTTCCGGCTTGCGGCTTACTCGAGCCACTTGGCATTCAACGCTTCGAGAACCGCTTGTAGGCCGGAGCCACAGTCCAGATGATGAACCTCGCCGACGGAGATACCTTACGTCTGGTTCCTGCATGAAACACAGGCACATGTCAGCACTGGCACGCCTGTGAGACGCTTGGGTGGGAGTGAGTATAGTATAGCTTGCAAGAGGTGAAGTGCGCAGCAGCTTAAAGTCTTTGGAGGTATTTGCTCCCTCAAGTTCATGTTCACATGACTTGAAGCTTGCGCCAACAGCACTGCTAGGTGGTTCCTGGTCCAAACTTTCTCTGTGCTTCAGTACGCCTTCGCGTTCCCAGCTGAACGGATGGACAGCAAGTCCGAGAAATTGGGCCATGTACAAAGTCAAGCCTAGCTTTCCTAGATGCCTTGTGGCCAAAGCGCTGCAGAAAGACCTAGCCACAGAGTTGCACCATCTTGGCGCGACAAAGAGCTAGCAAGACTGTACTGGGGACTCAGACGTCCACCCTTTAGATTCCATTGGTTTGGCCATGGGGTACTGTGGGAAAGGGCTTAGGAAGTTGTGTAGGTTTCAGATCCGGAGGTTTGTGCGGTTTGCAGTTTGGACCGGATTATGCAGGTTTTGACTACTTCTGCTAGCCCACTTTGTCCTGTGACCACTGTTTTTATTTCATAGTTTGGCTGAGTGAATTTCTGTGGCTTGAGGCCAGAGGTGGTGGTTGGGGAAAGCGGTACATGGGTGGTGTGTGCGAAACCCCAGAAGCAGCATGAACAATTCCATTACCCAACTGGAAGCCGCCAAGCACTAGAACTAGAACGCACCGCTCGCAGTTTTTGCAGCTTGGAATGCCAACCGACTTTGGATCGCATTTGCCCAACCCGTGCCAAGGTTAGAGCATCTCTACGCCACCGTCGGCGCAAAGGGCAAGGTTCCGCGTTTGCAGCGTTCTGCTGCAGGATGGATAAGGGGGCACCTACGCAGGTTGTGACGACAGACTTTTCTTTCAATAAAGAGTACCAGACGAAGTATGAGCTCAACTTCGCGAAAATGATGCAGAGTCTTTGACGCGTTGGACTGGCTGCACTCGCACATGTTCTGGTGCCAGCTTCTTTGCCGAGGACCAATACGGAAAGCAAGAAGTCGCGGACCGTGCGAAGAACAGGCAGCTGGCATACCATCATTCTGAGGCTTCCTAAGATCCCACACGTGTGCGCCTGCGCCCCCTATGTCCCTTGGAACAGCACCGTAAGCCCGTCGCGCAAGAGCTCCGAGAAGCCTCAGGTGGTGAAGCAGTTGCGGTGGTGAAGAAAGCCGTTTTGCCCTAAGTCCTGCGCAGTGCTGACTTTGCTTCCGGTCACAGTGCCATTTGTACGGGCAATTTGTGTGCATCCTGCGATTCAGGTCTGGGAATGGTGGTCCGATGAAGACGAGTGGGAGCCATTTCAAGAAGTCGATGCTCAGCTCCTTGAGAAGGCATCGTGCAGTCCCTGACGCATCTCACATCTCACTTGCCCATACCTGCGCACTCTAGGCATACCTTGCAGCGGAGACGCCCTTCTCTACCAAAAAGCTGAGTACGTGCCCCAGGTACCCGTCTCTGCGTTTGCCACGGGTTCTTGGTTTAAGAAAGCATCCTGTCTTCATGAGCTCTCACATCTCCTTTTCAGGCTGGAACGAGGGATATGACAGCCTCTACATCTTCGACTTCACTGTTATGACACAGGCGCCGGCGGGACACACCGTAGAAGATTTGTGGAAGGCTTGAGGCTGCGCACGACGATTGTCCTTGTGGGGAAGCGGGATCTTTCTTTCCGGAGAAGAACTGATACTACTGATAGTTGCCCTCATACCATGCGATCGGGTTGTTGGTTTGACGATTACGTTACGTTGGGGTTCGGGAGAGTTTGCATTAGCTTAATCCGGTTGTGTTAGGGTTTCGGGCAGGTTAGGTTGCATTAGCTAGGCTTGGTTGGGGTTGGGTAGGGTTTAGGTCAGGTTGTTGGGGTTGGGTCAGGGTTTAGGGTAGCTTAGGCTAGAATAGGCCTCAGGTCTCAGGTCTCAGGATGGAGGATCGTTTTCAGGGTAGGTTAGCTTCAGATAGGCTATGTGAAGTAGATCAGGTTCTTTAGGTGGGTCAGCTTAGGGTTTTGGAGCTTGTCAGATTGGGATAGGATCCAGGGTGGGTTGAGGATGTGCTTTGGTTCGGTTAAGAGTTTTGGGTCAGGCTGGAGCAGATCAGATTAGGGTTTAGGTTAGCTTAGGCTGTAGCGTAGGTTGAGAGCAGCCTGGGTGGTTAGGTTAACATAGGCTAGGGTGGTTCGCTTAGTTCAGGAGCTAGGATTGGTTGGGTTTGGGTTTAGGATAGGCTAGTTTCGAAGTAGTAAGATGCAGGGTTTAGGGAGTTTAGGGTTCAGGTTGTGTGCTATGTTGAAGTAAGACGCAGGTGCTCAGTCCGGGATCTTCAGGCTTTAGGACCTTTAGGGTCTAGCGTGCTGGCACGCATCAAGGAGGCGGTATCTGTAAAGCGGTAGGTCCGGTAGGCGGTTAGCTTGTTTGGGGACGGGTCAGTGGGGCCTAGTAGGGTTTGGTTAGGGCTTAAGTCAGGTTAGCTCCGACGGATGGTCATGACTTCTGGATAGAACCAAGCTCTTTGTTCTGAATCAGTAGCGGGCCTAATTGCTTGACACTGATGCGGCGTGCTAGGTTATGGCCCAAGTTACGGTCATAACAATTCTGAAACAGGTACACAGTTAAGTGTCCTTCACCGCATCAGCATGTGCAACTGCCCTCTTCGTCGGGCTGTCGACCAATGCACATGTCCAGCCCCCCTGCTTTGTTTCTTCTGCAAGAAGCATTCCAAGCTTCACTCCGCTACCCTTAGTGACAGGGTGGGAGACACACCCAAAATCACCTCACACAGACACGACCAACTGCAAACTGCAAACAAACAACGAACAAACCCGCACACCAGCAAACCAGCAAAGCTGCAAGCAAGCACACGAGTGGGCGAGATAGATAGATACATATATATATATATACACACACACAGACACACGCGTGCATACACACACACACACACACACACGCATACCTACCTACCTACCTACCTACCTACCTACCTACCTACCTACATACATACATACATACATGCATACATCCATACACAAATGCGTGCATGCATGCATGCATACGCACGTCATACACAAATGTGTACATACATACATACATGCATACATACGTACATACATACATACGTACATACATACATGCATACATACATACATACCGAGCGGTTGCATTTTCACAAGTGCATGCATACAGTTACAGACACGTACAGTTGCATGCGGTTATGTACATACATGCGTGCATGCATACATGATACATACTCAGTTACATACAGTTACAGTACATAACGCAAACACAAACGCAGATAACACATCTTCGCGAAAGAGTCAAGCTGGTCGAGCCGGAAGGGCCACCAGACCAAGCACCAGGGGTGAACAACAGGTGAATCACGGATGTCAACGGATCTCTTCGAGCGCAAACTGCAAACTTTTCAAGGATCTTCGCGTGGGCGGATACGAACATTCCAAAACATGTTTCCAGGACGCCCTGCCGAGCAAAGGTAGCTCTATGATAAGACTGAAGCAAGCATGAAGCTCCGGAGCCCGTAACCCAACCCTCGACAAGTGATTGAACAGTTGATGTAATGCCGAGTCTCGATGTCAGGTCAACTGTGACAGCAAGACATCCAGGAAAATCCAGCCCTGACACCGAGATCCACTTGTGCCTGATTACCTCATGAATGCCGGTCGGGGAACATGAGGCGCACAGCTGCTGGTGGATCGAAGCTGTTTGGTCACAAAGATGGTATGGAGCTAAGTTGTCCGCCAGAAAAGAGTTACTCCAATATCTTGCTCGTGAATAATGTAACCAAGGAGAAGATGATGGTTACGCAGGGGCTGTAGGCTTCCTGTCCGACAAGATCGGCGACAGCAAAGTAATGTTTGCCGGAAAGCCCGAAACTCAGCTGCAGTGAGTAGCGCGTCCGCCTTGACAGTGCGCAGCAAGATGTGCAGCTCCGTGCAGCTAGAGCATGCCGGAACGACGGGGTACAATTCGGACCGGGGCATCGGTGCAGGAACGACAACGCCGGACGTCCGGCTTCTCACATCTCAGAAATCATCACTGTCATTTCACCCGCCTAGAAGAGCTCCACACCCCCCGCCGCCCCCGGAGCCTCAGGTTCGAGCCCAGCCTGCCGGCTGCCGTCGTGACAGTCGGGCCCCGGAAAGAGGGTGTGGGCTGCGCTCGTGGACGCGTGCCTGTTTGAATCTGTCCGAGGCACAGAAGAAGCTCGGGGCGCAGTCGCTCCGCAAGCAGAAGAAGGCACTCTCGTGTGCTCCTTCGCTCTATTTGCATGCGCTTGTCCATCGTCTTGTCGCAGGATTATGGCCCCATTGTTTCCAAAGACGAACATGGGAGGAGGGCTCCTGACAGATCCGACTTTGCAAGATGAAGGATTATGCAAGATGCAGGAAATGCTTCGATGAGATGCTGCAGAATGAGAAGGAGTTCTGCGGTGAGTGGGTGGTGGGCCGCTTAGGAGCCCGACGCGTCCACCGCCACAGCTGTCGAGTTTGAAATGCGCAACTTGTGTAAGGTGTTTTACCACAGCTACTCCAGCGCCGTCTGTCCCCGAGGGCCCCAGGGAGTGCAGTCGCTACGGTATCTTGCTACGGTATGCAGGCTGACTACGGCCGCGACGGTAGAAGACTACAGAAACTTACTGACATGGCCCAATGGCTGAGGCGCTTCTTTACGAAGTTCAAGCTGCCGTGGTCCGCTTCTCACCTCGTTCTTGCTGGATGTTCCAATTTCCGTCTGTCGGTTTGAGGCATCGGTCCTCTTCCGCTTTAAAGCCGAGTTTGCCTCGCTTCCTCGGTTGCTCTGTCCGAGTCCAAACGTGCAAAATTGACGCACCAGTTTTGTGAAATGTCGTTCAGTGCGAGGCGCGCCATTCCACCATATACCGACAGCCAAGAGAATGCTGGAAGAGTTCCCGACGTGGAAGGACCATCGAAGACTTTGTTGCATGCCAGAGGTTTCAGATTGCATCTTGTTACGTCGAGACATGTGTTGTGAACCTGCAGCTCCCAAAGCCCCCGCCGGAATTGTGACAAAACTTCCTGCAAGTGGTCTGAGCAAGTCCGACAGCATCGAGCCGTAGCTGACATTCGTAAATGCTTTTTGCCCCCAGTGCAAGCCAACTGTCAGTGTGGCCATCCTTGGCAGTTTCCGGCTCTAGCTTGCGAGGCTGCGCAACCCTGTCTTGGGCTACGGGGAGTCGGCAAGAAACCTGTTCTCCATCCCATGCTACATGTCGGGATGAACCTCTTTGGCCAGAGAGATGAAATGCGCTGTAAACTCATGTGAGTCGGGATGCCGCGCGATGTGTACCAACAGTTTCAATCTACTTAACGACACTCTTCGACGGCGTAGGGACTGACGCATACTGATTTGCCGTTCGGGCAAGGTGTTCATTTGAGCCAGGAGCATCTGGTTCTTTGAGTAAACCGACGGAAATACGTCGATTTGACCTCGAACATGCTTCGCATAATTTGAGATGGGCAGCATTCAATCTCCTGGTCCGGTACTGGACGGCGTCAGGTAACAAGACTCAGACTCCATATTTGCCAGTATGGATACTATGACATATTTGTATGCAGTGAGCAACTTTGTAGGGAGGCCTAAGTGTCACACGGGACAACGGCTGTGGACAGCACGGTCTTAGACAAAGTGGAATTGTCAGCAACATGCATGCGGAAACACAAGCATACGATTGTAGGGGGAAGAACTCGACGCCCCAAGGTGGGATTTGTGGTGTGGTTGGCATGGACAACACAGCAATTAGCATTTACTCATAGAGCGTGCTTCACATTGTTGCGCTTTGTTCGAGAGTGTGCCTAGAACAGGTCAGTAGCCTTCAATGGTGCCGAGTATTGACACAAGCAGACAATACGTGTGCGTCACGCTTGGGCGAACTCTGTGGCGTGATCGCCCAACCCGAAAAACAACTACTCGCCAGTACTAGCATGGACATCATGTTTTCACATCTGATTGAGAAAACGTCGTCACAAAGCTCTGCTGCTTGTAACTTCTTGTCTTGGAACACAACGCAAGTATTTTCCTTCCTTGGCTGTCTCTTTAGTATCGAGCCTTCTGGCAAAAGGACATTAAGAACGATCAACTCCCTTCGGCTAAAGAAGTAAGCTTTCCCCGAGGATTGCCTCTTTGGGGAAAGGAATATGTGTGGAGCTTGATCACACGGCATCCTGAAAGAGTCCAAACCAGCTGAATGACGAAGGAATCGCGTGTTGTACGGAATAGGAGAAGAATGATTTGCAAAGGGAGGTTGTGCAGAACGATGGTGCGATAACACGTCTCACCCTCAAGATTTCCCAATTGCAGTTGATGGAGGTTCAATGCTCTCAAAACACTTGGGGCCTTTGGGTTGGACACCAAAGCGATTGTGTCAGCCGACATGTTAAAACTTGGCTGTACATGTTGCTCGTGGTAAGCCTCGCTCCAGCAACCTGTTTTTTGAGCCATCGTCCAACACGGGAGGGTTGTCTGGGGTGGAAGCATCTGGTCCTGGACCTCCTGAAACTCACCTGACGGGGTGAGTCTGGAAATTTTGCTGCGGTGGTACGAATCCTCGCGAAGTTTTGAAAAGGCTGCCCAACTTCGGGCGTTGTTCCAGCTCTCTTCTATACTTGGGGTCCATGTCCCCCCACTCCAGAGTGGTGTCATCAACCTCGTCACTCTCTTGATTGACAGGGCCAGTGGAGCCGTAAATCCACTTTAGTGCTGGTAGGTTAACGCCGTTCCGCGCAACGGCATTTTCTGAATCAATCAGACCTGGCTACCCGCATGATCGTCGACTTGTAGTGTAGAAGTAAGAATCTGTTTCCGTTCCTACGGTGCTCGAGCCTTTCGTAAATCCTTATCAAGAATACTCAGAGATGGGCTCCACCGTGTGTCCCAGCAGGCGCGCATCATTTTCCTGTTCATGTGGAAAACGTTCTTCTGCAAGGCCCAGTGCAGCGGTAGTTCCGGTAGTCGCGCGTAGCAGGCCAAGCTCAAGTCTTGACAACGTGCGACATGTGCACATAGGTGAAGGAAACAAGGCTCGAAAGCCGGTAGATGGTGCAAAACTTACGATGCGCTGCAAAGATGTCCAACTCGTGTCCCCGTGTCGGGTCGGGAAAAGTCGCACGGGGACACGAGGGGCTTCCCGGGGGCTTCGAACGAGGAGCAGTCGACTCAGAGAATAGTAAGCCGTGACATTGTGCAAGTGATGCGCGAATCTGAAGGACCAGGACCACAACCAGGCCTGAACGCTCCGAGCCATTTAGAAAGTCGTGACGTGACGACTTGGGCCTTTTCTGACCCTGCAGGCCTTTCGACTTGTAGGGCTATGTGGTGCACTCAGCTGTGATCAGGCTTGCCGGTGTCAGCTGTCAGCCACAGAGTGTTTCCGTAGCGGGAACAGGCCGACAGTAAAAAAAGACTGGTGACGGAAACAAGACTGGAGATCGCAACCAGAAACACCTGCTTCCCATAACAGCCTGGGGACAGCGCCTGGTAACAGGAACTGCGGTCTCCGGGCCTTCTTTTCTGATCCTGACTGTGTCCGGGGCTAAAGGGATTTACAGCTCCGATTCCAGCATGTCTACCTCCAGCCCCAACATCGGTCCAAATTCCCACAAAATCCAAGTGAAACCCAAAAGTCTCAACCTTTCCAGTTTGTTGCAGCTATGAAATTACAACAAATGCAAACGCTGTTGCGACTGTCAGCCTGCCTGCCTGTCCGACGGCTGGTGCCTGCATGTGAGAAACACGCATAGGATCGGTTGTGTGTACTGTCTGAGTATCCATGTATCATCACACGCATGTGTGTGTGTGTGTGTGCGTCTCCCAGTGCATCCATGTCTTTATCTGTTTGTTGTTTTACTTCAGGCCTGCCCGTGGGGGACCGGGGTCCGGTTTCCGGTCCGCCACTTTGCGAGCAAAAAAGCCTCCGGCCCACGCCGTGTTGGTTTCCGATGGCATTTCCTGTTCCGGTGGTCGTTCGTGTTACGCTGGTCGCCCGGTTACTGTTACCACGGACGTGCGTTTCGGTTACAGTGTGCGAGATCGGTATACTGCCCAAAGCGGGTCCCGTGACTCCCCGCACCCGTCAGCCACAGGTGGAACCTCATCACTTCTTGCACATGACTCAGAGGCGCCAGCCAAGCCCGAAGCTTAGGCTTCGATTGGCTCAGAAAGCGCCGCACGGGCGTCGCCTGTCTTCGACGGCGCGACTCCGCTGCAGCGCAGGTCCGTCTTCCTGGCTGGATACAGCGTCGGCCCTCTCAAGGTCGGGTCATTACAGGCCTTGCGCAGCTTTTCTGCAGCCATCCCCGTGCTAGGGTGTGCTGGAGAAGCTGCTGACAAGCTGCGGTGTCCCTGCGGCCAAGATCAAGGCAGGTGGCACACTTGCGGCTTCCACCAATGCCACAGAGACCTTTCGTTGACGACAGCCCGGAACATGGCAACTTAGGGGGTGTTTGGATGGCATCCAATAGCGCCAACCTACGACAATTCTGGCGGATCATGTAAGGTAGGACCATTGGCCGACACACTTGGGCCGCCGCACAAGACAGCACCAAGGCTCAAGCCTGATCGGCCACAAATGCGGAAACGCATAAGAGGCCGGAAAACATCGGGAACTGCTTCAGCAGCCTCTAGAAAACACAACACAGGGCAGAGCGGAGCTCAGAGGCGAGCCAAGAGCAATCCCCTGCCCGAACGTCCCGTTCCGGAAAAGAAGCATCGCACCTTGCTGTGGAAACGGTGAGGCAGATGTTGCGATTTCAAGCGCATGATTTGCTACACCCCGCCTGCCATCCCATCCCCGTCCCCGACCCCGTCCCCCACCCCACCCCACCCTACCTCCACCGGATTGGCGAGCTCGAAACTTCAGGGTTCCCGGCCGAGTCCACGACTTGGCATTCATCGGGGCAGAGACATGTCCATCTGAACTAACGGCAACGAATGCGCTCGGGTTTTCGGGATACTAGCTTTAACCTAGGTTTTTCCTTGAGCTACGACTTCATAGTCGGATGCTTTACAACATGTCTCTGTGCCATCTTGCCGCTTCTCGGGTGTGTGCCTTGTTTTGCAGTGCTTACTCTTGCAGCGCTCATGCCAGAAACTGGCCGCTGACATCATCGCGCTTGCAGTGAAGCTCTGGTCTCGGCACTCAGCGCTTGCAGTAGACGCACATGATCGTTGCCGGAGGTCCGGTCTCGACTGCAGTGGCATACCTGGTGGCAAGAAATGCAAGTCCCGGTGCTTACAGTGGCAAGCGTCGCAGCTAGGTAATGCTATGACACTGCACCTGATATCAAGGTCAGGACGATCGGGCCACATGTTGCAGATCTTCCTGAGGAGACTTTGCGATCCAAATGAAAAGCTCTGTGACCCATTTTGTACTCGTGGAGCCTTGCTTCTTTGGGCTCCTTCAAGACTTCAGGATTTCGGGAGCATCCTTATTGGAGGTGATAGACTTGGTACGAGTAGGCTTCTTTGGAGCCTGCCAGCCCCAGAACCGGCACCGACTGAGCACACCTCAATTCGGAGCAGGAGAGAGCTTTGTGACGAGTATGCGCGCGGCTTTGCAGATCCAGTTTCACATCAGTCGTTGTAGACGCCAAGTTGGGAGGTCAGTGCGAACTGGGTCCAGGTCTATCCATCCTTTCCGTTTGGAGTCCCTGACAAGAAGCGGATGAAGCCATCGCTGAGCAAGTACCTGACCGAGGACCAGCTACGTCGCAGAAAGTGCGTGAATGACGGCTCGCGACTGCTTTTGTGCACAGGACGTCAAAATCGAAGGTCAAGTTCGCATCACTTTGAATCCGGATGTTTTCTTAAGGGCTGCGCACCGAGCTTCACTGAGCCATCAAACCGACGATCCCAAAGAGATTCAGTGCGTGCAGTCTAGGCCACCACGGCGAGGATGTTTACCTTTCCGGCGGTGCGCCGGGCAAACCGCCACATCACCCCACTTTCAAATCTGAGCAATTGCCAGGATCCGACATTTCACAAGCCGGGTGCCCAAAGCCAAAGCCGAAGCATATGGGTCTCAATTTTCGCTTTGCTTATATCGCTTCAGGAATCGGCCCGACTTCCAAGACAAGTTGAAGTGACCTGTCAGCAGAAATGGCTGTGTCCTCTGTGGCAGTGAGTGTGAAACACAGCTCTCGGCTGGGACCCGGGAGCGGGGCTTTGGACAGTCGGGGCGTGGCGGAGGCGCAGGCTGCGAGCGACGGAAAGAAGTCACTCCAAAAAGCCGTGCAAGTTAGGGACCGGCGACAGTGCGGCGACACGGACGTTCGACATGCCACAACGTTCTACACAACCGTGGCCATAGCTGACATACTCTTCCAACGCATACCCTGCTGGATCTTAGAGGCTTGGGCGTAAACTTGTTGTGCAAAAATCGAGGTCGCTCCTTGAGCCTATCCTTGGGACGGAGACAGTCCGCGTCAAAGCAGTGCGGCCGCTCAGATCCTGAACCGCCACAGAAATCGCCGCCGGGAGTCTCTTGAAATGCTCTTGGCCAAGTCAAGGCCAAAGGCATCTTTGGAGGCGACCCACCAGATTGGTGGTCTTCGGAGGAGCCCACGATCGTCGCTCTTCATTTCTGGCGTGTTTGCAACTTCTACAGGATCAAAGTGACATGGCCAAAATGTCAAAAGGCCGTTATGCATCCTCATCCTTAGACTGACAATGGGCGTCTTCGTAGGCAGCGTTAGTAGGAACAGGGACACAGCAGTGACCGACAAGCATAGATTAGGTTCCAGTGTTTTTCTTCTGATTCTGGGATGTCCCAACCTTCCTGCCAACGTCTCGTTTTCAACTTAGGAATAAGCTTAAGACTTAAGACAAGTCCGTCTCGGAGCCAGTGCGAGCAAGTTGCATTGACCGAGCGGGTCGCGGCACGAGGCACAAGCTTCAAGGCTGCGTTCCTATGTCTTCTGTTCGACCTTCCTTGCGGGGTGGAACAAGAGGAGCAGTGCTATTGACTGTGACTGATATTCTGTTGCATTGCAGGGAAGTGCCAGGATGTGCGGCCTGTCGCCGTTTGCGTCAAGCTACCGTCATGGCTGGCTACGGGGTGAGTCTTCATGGTCTGGGTCGTGTGTGCGGTGGGCAGGCCGAGAGCCCGACGGAGAAAGATGTCGATCCGGCGAACTTCCAGCAACTACGCCAGTTGCGGGATCAGTCGGTCATGCAAGGCGACGTTGCCGCGTTGCGGCAGGAGATGCTGACCCTGAAAATGGTGGTGAGCACAGCCAAAACCGAGATGACCGTTTTGATCGAACAGGAGGTCGGAGAGGCCATTGCAAAGGAACGAGCCGAACGAGAGCGTGCTGAGCGACTCATGGATGAAAGAGTTGCAGCCTGCGTACAGCAGTCCCAGTTCCAACAAGAGGAGGTGGAGAAGCTACAAGGCCAGGAAAGATGCGCAAATCCTCGCGACTTGAAACACGGAAGCCACGGCACGTCGCAGTGAGAGGTTCTGTGAGCGCTTTCTTTCAGTTGGGGAGGCCGGCTGGAGTCCAATGCGAACTCGGTGCAAGAGACCCTCGGCAAGCTGACAAAGGAAGCCACGGAGGCCGTGCGCGACGGCCAGGCCAGGGCCATCTGCGGCCAGCTCGCGGCTTGCGCAGGCGTACCCCGGAGAGTCTCCTGTAATTTGGGTAATGCAGGTCTTGCAGCACAAGCTGCAGAGGCTGGAGGCGAAAGAAGGCCATTTTCGCAGATCTCCTCACTGAGTCACGTGTGATGCATCAATGGCCCATGACCATCCATGATCAGGTAGAGAAATGACGCAGATGAAGCAGGCCGGCCCTGCAACTCTTAGGCCGAACGGAAGCGAGCGTCTTGGCAGGACATGAACTTGCAAATTCAGAGTTTGCAGGCGACAAAGGTGCCAAGTGTGCTTCAGAGCACGCAGCCCGATGCGTTTGACGCGTCCTCTACATCTGATGCAGGTGCGGCTAGAGCACCTTGTGCAAGAGACCTGTCAGCAGTTTCAGGCAGGTGCCAAAACAAGTGATCATTTGCATAAAAAGTCGGCTTTTGTCTCTTGTGCAGTCCTCAGGCCGAGCAAGGTCAGGAGCTTTTAGAGGTGGGCAAAGTCCGACTAAGCGACGCAAGCGATGGTCCGTTTGACTCGCGTTTCCAGGTCCATAGTAAGTACGACACCTTGCACAAGGCTTCCTTCCGTCACTGTGGTTGGCAAGCAGTGGCTGCTAGTTTCTCGGGAGCACAAGCTGCAATCCTTGCATGGCTTCGAGTGGCCTTCGAAGGCAATTTGGGGTCGTCCTGGTGTGCAGAACCGGCACATGAAGGTCTTCGGATCTCTACTCAGTCTCCACCCAGCAAGCTGGAACAGTCTCTCTTGCAGGAGACGACAAACCTGGGGCAGACCTGGCAAGATTTGACCCTCCCTCTCAAACCCCCTGCCCCTGCTTTTTGTTGAACGGAATGTGTGCGTGTTTGCGGCTTCATTCGTGCAGCTGTTCAGCTATGTTCAGCTTGTAGATGCCCAGCCTTCCCAGTAATAGCGCAAAAGCAGCATATTCAGCGCTCTCTCTACCTGCCATTCAAACGTTTACAAAAGGTTGGCATGCCCGAGGAAGGATGAAGCTAGAGGTTGAAACTTCACAGGCTCTGGGAGGATCTGAACCAGCTGACCGGGCAAGTTCAAGAATTGCTGAGCAAGCAGGAGGCCACTTGCAATTCACTTGACAGCGGCAGCAAATAAGTTCGCAGCTTGTCAGGGCAGCATGAAACTTGGGGAGGAGCAGGCAAGGTTCTCGAGACGGATGGCACAATGATCGATCGACTCGTCCAGGGTCGCTCTCTGGACGAGCTCCATCATTCACAAGATGATTTGCAGAAGAGGACCCGTGTGGCTTTGTGCCGTCGTTTACAGCTGAAGCTCCTGCGGGCAAGTTCGAGCTCCCTATTCTAAGAAGCTCCAGTTGATGTGTCACGACCTGATGGCCGAAGGACCAACGAATTGATGTGCGCGGCTCAGCACTGGTGACGCTTGGTTTCGACCGTCCCGGAGCCAGAGTCCTCGTAGGGGAAAACAGCAGGCAAAAGAGAAAGTTCTTGCCACACAGCGAGGAAGAGTCGTGGATGTAGGGCTAAGAAAATCTCGGAGCCAATCCGTGTGCCCAGGGAAAAAGATAAAATTCATCCTCATGGGGGATAACGGCGCCCTTCAAAAAGGACGTTTACGTCGATTCTAGCGTGCCTGCCTGCCACAGGAAACAGGCTTCCTCTTGGATTTGTTGAAGGCATATTTAGGGTTTGGAAACACTTAAAACTCGAGTTTCGGACGTTCGAGTCGCGCTTATGGCCTGGTGAGGCTCTTAGGCGTGAAGTAGTAGATTGAAAGTAGCACTGGCGAACATACCGAAAGTACCATGCCTGTCACACGAAACAGGGCTCAGCATAGGATTGAGAATCTATATACTGAAGCAACCCGTCGTGTGACATGACATGATCTGAAATGATAGGAGATGACATGACATGATATGATATGATATGATGTACCATGACATGAAAGGAGATGTGAGGATGTGACCATGAGAGTAGAGTCGATGTCATCCATCACCATGCAAACATCACCGGCAGAGTAGCATAGTGACATAGTGTAAACACAGACCTCATCACCCCCCCCCCCCCAACCCCCTACCCGCAAGAAGAA